AATAGCAGCCGCCTAATGCTCTTCCCACCATGGCCAAGTGCTTGCTCCACAAACAAGCTAGTGTATGCTCCACCGTAGAGGATGGAGGGTCGTTCATCTTCAAAGCTGGCTGCTATATATATATGCAGCAGCTGTTGAAGAAAGACACAAACTAAAAACGAAAAAACACAATACAAAAACTGAAAACGCTCAACTTTGGCTATACATTGCACTCCTTCCTCTCAGCATTTCCATACGATTTTCTGAGTTTCTACTCTTTCGTTCTGCATTGTTTTAACTTCAAACAAAGCAACTGTAAGTGTGATTTACTACCGAATTTTGTGTTCGCTGAAACACTGGGGTTTGAGGTACCGCTACATCAGTGTGTGATTCGTTCTATCCTGGGAGGAAATAATCCATAACCTTGGGTACTAGGAGGGGGTTAAATTCCTTAAGGAAACACTGTGAATTCAGTGGGCTCGAATTAATTACTGTTTCATTACGATAACTTATATTTTGCAGAATTATTATTTACAAATACAGTAATATTGGCGGGAATAATAGGTTCTTGTAAAGAGGTTAGGGGAATAATAAATTAATAATAGCATGTAACTGAAAGGGTTATTTGGAAGTGAAAGTTCAATAGTAACAGTTAAAAGCATGATGATACGATCCCCTTTTCTCCAACAATGACATGACTTCTATCAATTCGCCAATAGCAAAGGAAAGTAACCTTACAAACTTGCCAAAACACTTTCAATTTACCATCTATGGATTTCGGTTCATTCATTTTCCTGGTAGTTTCTTCAACATAATAATGAACATTATTGCAAGTTGAAAATCCTCCAATTTGGAACATGCTCACCCACTCATCATTCAAATGGTAATTTTATTAAGAAGTTGTAAAACAAAATCAGTGATTCGGTGTATACTGCTTCATTGTTTGTCCATAACTAACGACAGTAAAAGAAGCTAGATTGCCTAAAAGGGCAGAGGTCATATCACCCTGCGCTAGAAAAATACACTGTTTTAGCCTTCGAACCAAAAAATATAAATTAAAGACTTGAGCTCGTTTGGACATAATTTTTTTTTAACTTTTTTAGAATTTTTTTTACTTTTTTTTCGAAATCAGTGTTTGGCCATAAAATTTTAAATTTTCACTTAAAGATGAATTTTGAAATTTTTCGAAAATTTGAAAAACTGCAAAAGACTGTTTTACAAAATTTTCACTCATATCACTCACAAAATTTCAAAAACATCCCAAAATTATATTCATGTTCAAATACAACTCTAATTTTCAAATATCATTTTCACTTGAATTTTTTTTTTTTTTTTTTTTTTTTTTTTTTTTTTTAGAATTTTATATTTCTTATGTCCAAACTCCCACAAAGATTAAGCAGATAAACATAGTTATACTCACAAGTGTTGGGGCATGGTTGGGGTCAGCATCGGAGATCGGGGGTGAGGGTGGTCGAATTTCATATATTACAAAAACAGTTTTATCATGATAAGTTGAACGGGCTAAACAATTTTGGATTGAAATTGTCAATACTTAGTCTATCATATGTATATATGTTGATGTTGATTATAAATATATCAAGATACGAAAAACTAACCAATAATGATTGCAAAATCATGAATAGACCGTTTGTTTTTACTCTTAATCGTGCATTAAAATTTTGTACCTTTAAAGACACAGATAGTGCAAAAAATTCATTGTATTTGGTATCTTAAGACTAGGGCAGCAACAAAGGGAATAGCAGCTCATTATTCCAATTTTGATAAATTCTTACGTATGTTTCCACTAACTATTGGTATTCAACATAACAATTAATAAAAATGTTAGCAGCATGTGAAAGCACAATCCACTCCCCATTTGAAAATACATATAGTTGTATAATTTCAAAAAAGAAAGAAAGAAAGAATTTATTACTTTTACATCCACAAGACAGTAAAGATTATACTGATAATTCGTAATTACTAGATTAAAATTACATCTGTTTTGTTCTCATGCCATGCTTTTCTCATATTTTTTTCCCCAAAAAATAGTTCTTGACCAGGAATAATGTATCTTGATTAAAATCTCAAATTGCATCATCATTCCTCATTTGTGAGATTCAATAGGACTTAGAAGTTACTCCCCTAGGCTTCCTTCCCGCCGATGTTCATGCAATAGGTCCTAAATCATGTAATACTAATATCTAAATCATGTACTAGCATCCCTTTTTATTATATTATGTTGACCACTTCAATGTGACAATCTCCTAGGCCATCGTGCCCTAAACATAAAATTGACTTTGTATAAGGTCAAACTTTCATTTCTATTCACCTTCCTTCCTTTTCGCCCTCTCTAGGAGTCCTATCTCGAAGACTTTGACCATAAATATGGTGGGTTTCAGCTTAGTTGTGAAAATTGAAAATTCATTGGGTTAATCAATTTAAGGTCTTAATTTATAATATACTGTAAATGTATTTAACATATTGCAATAGCTAATATGCTTTATGTTTTAACTTACCAATTCAATATTTTTATGAACAATTATACGTAAATATCTTTAATCTAGAGTTCTTTGATGTTTTACCTAAGGTAAAATATAAATTACAGTGAAGGGTTGCAAGTTACAACCATTTTATATACAACTTCTTAAGAAAGAACAATCTCTGTCAAGGTTCTCGTATACCTATGTGAAAACTTTGTCAGTTCTCAAGGTAAAGTGATAAGATTTCTATCCCTTTATTAACTTCTTGTGTTCATCCAACCCACATGCAAACTCAACCAACCTTATTTACAAGTTTCATCTCTCCCCTCTTTATTACTCATCTTTTCATTTCTTTATTGCATGTAGGGTCACCATTCTCCACCCTCCCCCGACCCCCAATCTCTCCTTTTTTTCTTTCCTCGTAAGAACAGAAAGAAAAGGCTCAAAAGCATATACAGAAAAGAGACCTTTTTTTTGTTGTTCTCTCTGGAAAGTGAAGAATGGAAGAGGTTGAAGCTGAAGTTCAGAAGCTGCCTGAAAGGCTTACACCATGCAACAGTGGAAGAAGGAGAAGCTGTGACTGTGATTCTAACCATTCACCCGAATTTGAGTTTTGGATGGTCCGAAACCCGTCTTTTCCTCAGCCCAACCAACTCTCTGCTGACGAGCTCTTCTCCGATGGCGTCCTTCTTCCTTTAGACCTTCTCCAGTGCCCTTCCGCGGATGACCCACTTGAACCTAATGGGCCAAATACTTCTTCACAGCATAAAACTGAGCTTGAACCATCCGGGTCTGGTCGACCCGAACCCGAAACAGAACTCTCTGCGTCGATAGTCAATACGTCGGCGGGCGGCGGTTCTTTTACTTCATCAAAGCGTTGGAAGGACATTTTCAAGAAAACCGAGAAGAAAGAGAGTAATGATGTGAAGAAGAAGGAGAAGAGGAAAGAGAAGAAAGTTATAAGTGGAAGCAATGGGGTGAGTACAGGTGCTGAGCTCAATATCAATATTTGGCCATTTTCGAGGAGTAGATCCGCTGGAAACGGCGGAAGTAGGCCTCGGGTTACCGGTGGATCCGGTTTGGCCACCCGAAAGGTTAGTAGTGCTCCTTGTTCTCGGAGTAACTCAGCCGGTGAATCCAAGTCAAGAAAATGGCCCAGTAGTCCTAGCCGTGGTGGGGTTCATTTGGGCCGCAGCAGCCCAGTTTGGCAGGTCCGCCGGAATCTTGGACCAGGATCCGGTTGCCGGAGCTCCGATAACCTCGTGAAAACTGCTGAAAAACCACTCAGAAAAGAAGCCCCCCTATATGAAAGCAGCACCAAAAAAAAGGCAGTTAAAAAAGAAAGCGTTGAATGTCGCCGGAAAGTGTCGTCAACGGCGGCCGGTGGTGGTGGGCCTAAAGCTAGAGTCTTGAACTTGAATGTTCCTATGTGCATTGGTTACAGGAATCAGTTAAGTTGCAGAAGTGACGAAAACAGTGCCATTAGTGTCGCCGCCGCATCTGCCGGCGACGGTGGTGATCAGAGTGGTGTCGCGGTGACCAGTGAAGGGATACGCGGCAGTAGTAATCTATTTAATATCAAAAGCCTATTTACCAAGAAAGTCTATTAATTTAATACTGGTAAATCCAAATTAGTAATTACACACTTTTTTGAATATGTTAGTGTATCTATCGTTATCCTTCTCTATATTCTCATATGTAACTTTTTCTTTTTTGGTATATGTGAAGTCCTAACTTTTGACGTTTGCAACTCTGCATTTGTGTAATATCTGGGGCTCAGTTTCCTCAACTTACTAGCTACTTCTGTTCAGTAGGCATACAGTACTCTTGTTATTGAGGTTGAATTCATTGTATAATTTATCCTACTTTAGTTTTTGCTCTTAATTACCTTCTTACCTTATTCTAATAAACTCCGCTTTCAGCTGACTGTTAACTGTTTAGTCTGTTTTAATTATTAAGCTAGTGATTGAGTTTCATATATTTTCCTTAGCGACGATGCTTGCAGAGAGGCAATTTTAATTTTTACATGAATTCTTCATCCTCATCAGATGGTACTAGTTTGATTATTTTGTGTTTTTTTTTTTGGGTGTAAAGGCACTCTCGGCTAATACTACGATTTTTTATCTAGCACAATTATTGAATAATTCTGTCAAATATGAAATTGTCTAATATTTTTGTCTCTTCTAGAAGTAGAACCTTAGTTTCTAAATATTTTATTTAGCTTCATTGACGGTAGACCATATTTTTCAATGCAGCTATTATGTAGCACCCGTGGATTCCCAAATATTTTTTGAAAAAAACTGATTTGGGTGAAATTTGATTTGAAATATGTTTGGACATTAATTTTGGGGCAAGTTTTAACATGTTAATTTTTTTTTTCAGCTAAAAAATTTCAAATTTGGCTCAAAAAGATGTCTTAAGCTATATTTGAGATTCGAAGTTTTAGATTAATTCTATAAATAAATACATAGTTAAAATAGCAATATTTGGTAGTGGTACTTTGTTACACATTTGTATTGGATCTGGAACTTACACAGCTTCTCACTTGCCAGTTAAGGCATGGTCCATGGGGCGTTGGACATAACTTTCACTCTCCTGTTTCGTTACGTTACAGCCATAGCCTGGGGCAAAATAAAATTAAACCTTTACAGGTGCTTTAATTTTGTTCCTATATTGCGATAACGAATCTTAACTGCATGATATATATACTTTTTAGTAGATTGATATCGCCTAACATTCTTTCCAGCCACATGTTCTACGTACGTCTATATAGTGATTGAATTTTATCAGTTCTGAGTTAAGAGAATAGTTTTTGAAATACTATATATTTTACTCTATTTTTACTTGTCTTTTGTACGTGTGTATAACTTTGATCATAAATGTTTAGCTTTATAATGTCTTATTAAAATTTCGGCATAGTTGAATCTTTCTACGTTGCATTCAATCAAATATCATTCATCATCAATGCATTTATCTCATTCGAACTGGTTGTATTTTGGGGGATGAAATCTCTCTGTATTCATTATGTTCTATTTGGGGACAATCTAAATCCCTCGATCCATTTACTCTTTTGTTTATTCCATTTATTTTGAGGTATTATCACTTTTAGTCATGTCAGAAACTACATCTGATAGCTGAAGAAATATATAAAATTTGTATAATTTTTTTATATAACATACAAAATGTATATATTCACAAAAAATATAAAAAAATTATATATTTTTTCGTTATTATTTTTACCGTGGCTATATAGTGTCATTTTCCCATTTATATCTGTACCGTTAGAAACATATGCGAAATGAGATCCGAATCACTCTTCATGACAAGGATAATTAAAGAGGAAAATAACTGGTAGGTAGGACATACATGAGAACTAGTACGACCCTGAACCTTTCATTAATTTTTGTCCCCATACATAACATAGTGTGAGCTGAAAAAGTTGAATTAATCCAAATAGCCCCACCTAAGTATACCGATTATAAAGAGTAAACATTGAATATGAGCCGGTTTTGTGTAACAGCGTGGGCCAAGCCCAACCAAATACACTCGGCTATAAAACGTCTAAAGATGGGCTCGTTTCCGATATTTCAGCTCATGGGCCATTCTCTTGTATATCATTGAGTACTATGATTCATGAATTGAAGCAACACGAAGACTTTTATAACTACTAGCTTTAGTGTACGTATTTTGAACGTGAACTTTGCGTGTATCAATAAAATTATATATAAATATAAAATAATATAAATTATTGTGTAATACCGATGTTAGTATATAAATATAAAATAATATGACTATGTTAGTATTTAGATATTGACTCAAACGTAAATCATCTTTTAACCCAAAGTATTAATCAACATAATCTTTTATCCTAAAAAAATGAATTGGATGGTGAAAATAATAAGATTTAAGCGGAAAATAATTCTTCCAAAATTCTATAAAAGCATCAAAAATAAAAGTAACAACAAACTAAACCAAGAAAATACTGCCAAATGCTACAATAATATTCTATAAAACAAAAAAATAAAAAAGATTAAGGGAGTCACATGCTAAGGCGTAACTCATATCTCGTTTGGTGAGGAACAAAATAAATAATAAGTTACCTCGATATACTCGATATACTTTGTTGTGTTAGTTTTAAAAGATCCAAAACCTTCTAAGATATAGAATCAGCAACCTAAAACTTGGAGAAAGAAAACACAAAGGTTAGACAATACCAAGTGAAGAACATAAAAAAAGATGGTAAATAAAAGCAAAAGCACTAATAAGCAATAAAAGAGTTTGAATCACAATCAACGATTAAGACTTAATGAAAGTATCAAACTTGTCATATGGTGTCACGATCCAATTTCACCTATAGGTCATGATGACACCCAACACTATAGTTAGGCAAGCCAACTAATAAATTAAACATATATCGATAAAATTTAAATACAAGAAAAATATAAGACACCAAATTCTACCAATGTGTGTGCCAAGACCTAGTGTCACAAGTGTATGAGCATCTAGTAGATTATACAAAACCACTAATATTGTCTGAAATAAAAATAGACAGAATGAAAAATACAAGGAAAGACACTGGTAGCTGCAGAACGGCTCGGAAAGGCAGCTCACCATTATGCCCCTGGATAACGTGGGTGTAAGACGATAGGTCCCCCACTAGTACTTGCCTCAGGTCCTGCACAAAAAGTGGAGCAAGTGTAGTATGAGTACGTAAACAACGTGTACCCAGTAAGTATCAAGCCTAATCTCGAAGTGGTAGAGACGAGATGGCCGACTTTGACACTCAGTATGGGTCAATAATAATAATTGAAATAATTCTAGAATATCTAGATCAGCATGCTTCACAGAATATAATAATAATTTATTTAAACAGCAAAAATAATTAATTTTCTTCAATTTCAATAGATTTTCAAATTTATCAATTAGTCTCATTTACAGGAATAATAATAATCCCTTAACAAGCAGGAATAATAATTCATTAAATTTCAAAGATTTTTAATTTATCAATTAGCTTCACAAGCTGCAATAAACTATCAAAGTATCGTGTAATTATTATTATTAAGCACGATTTCTGCTGAGGTCGTACGACCCGATCCAGAGTTCCGTATACACTGCCGAGGGACGTGCAGCACGATCCATAGATGCATCTATCCTCCCGATGCGTTCGGCCCGCTCCACAAAAAAAGAGGACATTTTCTTATGTACCTCCAGAATTAGAGTATATTTATTATAAGATAAATTCAGAAGGAAGAATAATTTCTCTTAATAATTAATTAATTTAAACAGAAAAATCAAGTGTATAAGAGATTTCCATCCTTTAATATTTTTATCTAACAACTCACAATATATATNTCATATGATATGTCGGCATGATACTTCCGATGCATAGATACATGGAAAATTGGATGAACTCCCGATAGACTGGGAGGCAATGCAAGCTCATAAGCAACCTCCCCAACTCGTCTCAACACCTCAAATGGGCCTGTAAACCTTGGGCTCAATTTCCCTTTTTTTTCCAAATCTCATGATTCCCTTCATCGGCAAAACTTTCAAGAGAACTTTTTCACCTACCATAAATGATAAATCACGCGCTTTATGATCCGCGTAACTCTTCTGTCTAGACTACGCTGTATGAAGTCGCTCCTGAATCAACTTTACCTTTTCCAAGACATCCTTCACCAAATCAGTACCATATAACTTAGCCTCACCGGGCTCAAACCACCCGATGGGCGAACGACATCGCCGACTATATAGAGCCTCAAATGGAGCCATCTCGATGTTGGATTGGTAACTGTTATTATAAGCAAACTCGGCCAAAGGCAAGAAACGATACCACTGACCTCCAAAGTCAATCACACATGCCCTGAGCATATCCTCTAAAATCTGAATTGTCCACTCTGACTTCTCATCGGTCTGCGGATGGAAGGCTTTGCTGAGCTCTACACGGGTCCCCAATTCACCCTGTACTGCTCTCCAGAAATGTGAAGTAAACCGAGGGCCTCTATATGATATTATAGAAATTGGCATACCGTGCAACCGAACTATCTCCTGAATATAAATCTGGGCCAACCTCTCTGAAGTATACGTAGTCACAACAGGAATAAAATGTGCCGACTTGGTCAACCTGTCAATAATGACCCAAACTGCATCAAACTTCTGCAAGGTCCGCGGCAACCCAACTACAATGTCCATAGTGATGCATTCCCATTACCACTCCGCTATAGTCATCTGCTGAAGTAGGCCACTAGGCCTCTGGTGCTCATATTTAACTTGCTGGAAATTTAGATACCTAGATACATACTCAACTATGTCTCTTTTTCATTCGCCTCCACCAATAATGTTGCCTCAAATCACGATACATCTTCGTAGCACCTGGATGAATAGAATACCGAGAACTGTGTGCCTCCTCTAGGATCTTTTTCCTTAGTCCATCCACATTAGGAACACATAGACGATCCTGGAGTCGCAGAATACCATCCGCTCCAATAGTAACTTCCTTGGAACCACCCCGTAGTACCATTTCTCGAAGAACCATTAAGTGTAGATCATCATACTGGCGAGCCTTGATCTGTTCAAATAGTGAAGACTGAGCTACAACACATGCAAGAACTCGGCTGGGCTCTGAAATATCCAGCCGCACAAGTCTGTTGGCCAAGGACTGAATATCTAAAGCCAATGGCCTCTTCTTTGCTGAAATGAAAGCCAAACTACCCATACTCTCCGCCTTTCTACTCAAGGCGTCTGCAACCACATTTTCCTTGCCCGGATGATATAGGATAGTAATATCATAATCTTTCAGTAACTCAAGCCATCTGTGCTGTCTCAAATTTAGGTCCCTCTGCTTGAACAAATGTTGCAAACTGCGATGATCAGTGTAAACTTCA